CCTCTTCTTCTTCTTCTTCTTCTTCTTCTTCTTCTTCTTCTTCTTCTTCTTCTTCTTCTTCTTCTTCTTCTTCTTCTTCTTCTTCTTCTTCTTCTTCGAAGATGGGGAGGGGGGTGGATATATTTGTTAGGATTATTTAAAGTGAGAATGAGTAATATGTGCATGAGTGTTTAACACTTTGCGGAGAAGTCTGTTGCAGTCACTCTCCTGGCTGGGTGACCAGATGGGGTATTTTGTACTGCTGGCTGTGTGACTGCAAAGTGTTTAGTGCCTGTAATATGGCAGTTTGTACTGGATGCTTCCCAGGAAGCTAAAACGGTTAAGGAATCTTACAGGATCTGTTGGGGTCTTATAAATTACAGAGCGCATAGTCTACTTTCGAGCTGGGGCATAGATTAATATGTATGTAACCACGCGGTGGAATCAGGCGCTCATCAATTTTGGGGCATGTAGATTTATTGGTATCATCTTAAAGCCTGTCCATTTGCCTTCCTTTTGATGGAAAAAATATCTATTTATCCTGGGTATATGTCAATATATTGGCGATTGAAGTAGGTGTGGGTCACGTGGATTCAACGGAAAAATTAGCGAGAAAATGGCCGCCAAAGTTGCATAATTTCCTTAGCTTGAAAGTCCGCTGTAACTGAAAATTGACATCTTTTATGCCTTTATTCGTTTTTCAGTTAAATCAATATAGAAATGTGTTCTTTAAAGGGCATGAAAGGTATTGGGCGGGAAAAACACAAATTCGATCAAAATTCCCAAACCTGCCGAAAAATGCCAGTTGCTTGACTTTCATTATTTTGACAAGCGCTTGATTTCACCACGATGCCTCACATATGAATGATATCTATTTTAAATGCGAGCCATTTCTCCTTCAGACACGGGCTCGCCCACAAACACTGCGGTGCCCCCGGTGGGCGTAGGTGCCACCATCACCATGTCCCAGAAGCCCCCGGCCCAGGGCGGCACCGTCACTTTCGGTACATCAGTAGCCACCGCCGGCAAGCAGAAGGCACCGAGACCCCTCCCACTGCCCCCAGAGAGAAGTGGTACAATCGTCATCTCACGCGACACAGTGGGTGAGTGGTTGGGGTGTTGTCTCATTGGAGTTTTTTGGGGGGGGGTTTTTAGTGTGTGTGTGTGAGAGAGAGAGTGTGCGTGTGTGTGTGTGTGAGTGTGTGTATGTCTGTGAGAGAGAGAGTGTGTATGTGTGTGAGAGAGAGTGTGTATGTGTGTGTGAGAGAGAGTGTGTGTGTGTGTGTGTGTGAGAGTGTGTGAGTGGAACTGTGGTCATCTTGAGCGTTACCGTGGGTGAGTTAGTTGCTGCTGTGTTGTTGAGTTGGGTTGGGGGGTTTTTGTGTGTGTGTGTGCGTCTCTCTGTATTTTTCACACTAGTCAGCGGGTGGTTGGTGGGTGCTCTGGTATGGTTTGCTCCTTCTTTCTTATCAAACATCTATCTGTGGATGGTTGGTGGGTGCTCTGGTGTGGTTTGCTCCTTCTTTCCTTTCAAACATCTATCAGTGGATGGTTGGCGGGTGCTCTGGTGTGGTTTGCTCATTCTTTCCTATCAAACATCTATCAGTGGATGGTTGGCAGGTGCTCTGGTGTGGTTTGCCCCTTCTTTCCTATCAAACATCTATGGACCTTATCTCTCCACCTTCTTTTTTGTGTTTTTCCTTTATCAGCTGAGGAAGTTGACCCCTTGCTTTCCTAAACAAAAAATAACTTGTTTTCCCTCCCCAATCCTATTCTCCACTGTCCTTGTAGTCAAATTTTATTTTCACAACTTACTGCGCTGCAACACGGGGAAGAAATAAATTTCCAAACATAAAAATCTGTCATAAAGTACGTCTTTTGTTATCGTCTGAGTCCCAAAGTTGAGCTCCTGTAACCTTGTGCAGTTGCAAGGGCTGCAAAACTCTACTACACTGAAATATAAGTTCAGCTGATATTTCTTTTGAGGTGCTCAATGTCTGAACAGCTGTTTGATTGTAAGGACTGGCTGGTGGTATGACCTAACGATGCTGTTTCAGATGTCGGAAATCTGTCTTGAAAATTTCACAGACATGATCGTATTCAATAGTGAAACTGTTTGCCCCTGTGTTTGATGTTACCTGTGTCTTAAGTTATCTGTGTTTCAAGTTATCTGTGTTTGAAGTTATCTGTGTTTGAAGTTATCAGTGTTTGAAGTTATTTGTGTTTCAAGTTATCTGTGTCTTAAGTTATCTATGTTTTATCTGTGTTTTAAGTTATCTGTATTTTAAGTTATCTGTATTTGAAGTTATCTGTGTTTTTTAAGTTATCTGTGTTTTAAGTATCTGTGTTTTTTAAGTTATCTATGTTTGAAGTTATCTGTGTTTTTTAAGTTATCTGTGTTTGTAAGTTATCTGTGTTGTAAGTTATCTGTGTTGTAAGTTATCTGTGTTTGTAAGTTATCGGTGTCTTAAGTTATCTGCCTGTAGTTTTCACTACAGCATCACTGCACTTATTTCCCTCTCTCTGACTTTCGTCTTTCTGCTTCTGTTATCATGTGGGCTTTGGTGTTTCTTTATTTGTGAAGCAGCGCAGTGAAATCAGGTGCCCGTCAAAATATTGAAAGTCTAGGAACTGGCATTTTTCTGCAGGTTTGGGAATTTTATTGAATTTTTGTTATTTGCTCAACACCTTTTATGCCCATTAAAGAACACATTTCTGTGTGGATTTTACTGAAAAACGTTGATTAAAGGCATAAAAAATGTAAGTTTTCAGTTTCAATGGACTCTCCAGCAAAGAAAAAAACGCAACTTTGCCGTCCATTTTCTCGCTAATTTTACCTCTGAAACCTGGCGACCCCCCACCTCCTTCAATTGCCAATATTTTGTTTGTATTCAAGATAAATGGATATTTTTTTCATCAAAAGCAAGGCAGATGGACATGATTTAAGATGATACCAATAACTCCACGTGCCCCAAAATTGAGGAGAGCCTGATTCCTCCGTGTCGTGACACATTTGTCATCACCATACAACCACACTCTGGTGGGATCACGCACTAGATAATACGGGGTGCCCACTACGGCTGGAATGGACCGATTGCCCGATTCGATCGCTTGATACTGAAAACAAACACGTTTTTTTTTTAGGCGATTAAGTCAGGCGATTGGCCGATTACAGCCGTAACGGGCACCCCGTATAAGATTTCTTGACTGTCATTGGATCACGCACAAGACAAGATAAGATTTCTTGAATGTCCTTGGATTATACACAAGATAAGATAAGATTTCTTGACTGTCCTTGGATTATGCACAAGATAAGATAAGATTTCTTAACTGCCCTGGAAGCTTTCCTTTTCTTTCTGTTTGGTTTTCCCCCTTTATTCCTTATTTCCACGCTTTTGATGTGTCCTCTTTGCTCGCTGGCCCACGACCCCAGGCGGCAACCTCCCATACACGATCCCGACTGTTACCTCCCCTGGCGGGCAAGAGGAAGAACTCCCGTCCTCCTTACACTTTCAAGTGCCTCCTGACGGCGAACCTCTGAAAACGCCAACAGCCACAAACGACCCCCTCAACCAATCACAAGCAGCGATCGGTGAAGTAGAACTCCCTTCCTCAATACGATTTTTCGGAAACGAGCAAGAGCAAAATAGTCAGGCGACCAGCTCAAATAACCCAAGCGGCGTTCCGGCTGACAAATTGTCAGCCAGTGAATCACACTCTAGCGACGCGGGTGACAAATTGTCAGCCAATGAATCGCCCTCTAGTGAGGCGGGTGACAAATTGTCAGCCCATGAGGCGGAGTACAACAGAGACCGCAGGCTGGAGACCCTGATGGAGGTGTCGGAGAGCCAGTCGTTGTCCGAGGCTGAGCAGCAGAGTGTTCAGAGCCAGTTCAAAGCTTACCTGACTCACATGAAGTCTCAGAAAGGTACGCACTGTCACGTCATATACTAACAATAAGCAAACTCCAAGTTGTTTTAAACTGAAGGCTTGGGAACGGAATGATATCAAGAGACTCGATAACATTGACTAGCTAGCTCCAAATTGTTTTACCATAAAGGCTTGGAAACAAAATGATATGAAGATAACATTGAAAAGCTATCTCCAAATTGTTTTAACCTAAAGGCTTGAGAACGGAATGATATCAAGAGACTCTGATAACATTGGAAAGCTATCTCCAAATTGTCTTATCATAAAGACTCGGAAACTGAAATTATCTCAAGAGACTCCAATAACACTAAAAAGCTACCTCCAAATTGTTTTATCATAAAGACTTTGAAACGGAATGATATGAAGAGACTCGATAACATTGGAAAGCTATCTCCAGATTACGTCACTATTCTACTGCTGATATAAATAATTTTGCAAAGCTGAGATTTCTGTAGTTTAAACAATTTCATCACAATTCTAAGACTGATATAAATAATTTTGCAAAGCTTAGATTTGTGTAGTTAAAACTATTTCGTCACAATTGTAATACTGATATAAATAATTTAAGGACTGTGTCACAGACAGTGAGTGACAATGAGGTATCTATCTCGGTATGAGGAAGTACATACCTCATTTTTAGCCACCCTGGCGTTCTTAGATATGAACACAAAAAAATCCAATCAAAATAACGAAGTTCTTTTGGATTTATTTAACTTTTTTTTCTTCTACTTCTCTAAGCTACTGGCACATATCTTACTTATTTCACCCTTTCTCTGGTTTCTTTCCAAAGTTTCATTTTCATCATCCTATCTTTGTGTGCTTGCATACCCCCCTAGCTTTTGACATATTTATTTAATTATCTATGCTTTTATTATTGTGACCTCTCCCCCCCCCCCCCCCAAACTACTACTCCCCTCTTCTAACACGAAGCAGAAAATCCTAGCTGTATAAGATGCTTATGATGAAGACTGTATATTATTTTGTACAAAATGTTTTAACTCTTTTTGTTCCAAAATATATCAGCGTATATTTCTACGGTGTAAAGCAAGGCCACAATATGTTGGTGCACGGTACAGAAAACGTTAATGTGTGTCACCTGGTATGTAGATAGTCACTGAAATAGAGGCTTCTGTTTTCTCAGTGTCTGCTGGCACTGTGAAGTGCTTAAATGGTCGCTTTTAAGCACAAGGGGGCTCTCCCGAAAAATGATGTTTTGAGAAAATCAAAGGTAAAGTTTTTGGACCCTTGTTCAGTTTCTTTAAAAGACAAGGAGGATTTTCTCTATAATCAAACAAATATACACACCAATAAAACCAAACTTCTCCTTTAGGTAGGGCAATGCCCACTTTTGGTGGAGGTAAAGATTTCTGGAAACCGCCAAAATCTGGGTTAGCCCGCTTGTCCTTAAAAGCGACCAAATATATTTTGGGTCCCAAAATAAATCCTACAAATAGGATCACCCCCTTTTCTCCTCATAAAAAACTTCTGCCCTCTCACTATCTCTCTCTCTTTTCTTTTGTAAACTTTTGCTTGTTTGTGTATGGGTTTGTGGGTATCATATTTCCATGCTTGTGCGTGTACGTCTAGTCTTTTTGCCTGTGAGCATCTTCTACGAGTTGGACGCATGTCTGTATGACTGACTTTCTTTCACTTGGATTATGTGAAATACTCTGTCTACATATATGGCACTTGTTTGTATATGTTCCGTGCTATTTACTGATCGGCGCAGCAAGCTGTGCGTTTTGATGATCATATAATTGGCAACAATCTGAAGGTTGCATTAATATTTTTTTTTTTTTTAATAGTTTTTTTAAAAATCCACTTCCATCTTTTTTCTTTTACTCACATCAAGGAACATTCACATATATTTTCAAAAGTGTAAAAATATGTAAATTAAAATTAACATATAAAACTAAAGAGCTCCCAAGAATGATACAATGCCGGGTATCAAACTTAAAGTTTGCAAAGTTCATAATTTTTAAAATATTTTTGAAATAATCTTTTTTTTTATTCACTTCCATCTCTATTCTTTTACTCACATCAAGGAACATTCACGTATATATTTTCAAAAGTGTAAAATTATGAAAATTAAAATTATAATTAAAATTAACATATGAAAACGAAGAGCTCACAAGAATGATACAATTATACAACCGTTAAAATGCTTCTTGCAATCTTACGATTGTCACGTAATTATAAGATCATTAAAACGTGCTGTAAAGATTGCGCCGATCTGTAAATAGTGCGGAACATATACACATACATCGGGCCTCTGCAGTAATGGCTGCAGCACGTAGACTTTGCGTGTGTGGTTGGTGGGGGCTCTGGTGTGGTTTGCTTCTTCTTTCCTATCAAACATCTATCGTCCTTACCTCCCCTTCTTCTTTTTTGTTTGTTACTCTCTTGTAACACCTCTAGTCTACTGGCGCTCATATGTCCTTAAGCAGTTGAGAGCGCCGTAAAACCTCTACTAAAACTAAACTACCCATAAACTTTGTGCTATACAATTGCCATAGATTATTATTATACCTTCCTCACCTTTCTCTTTATCAGCTGTTGGAATGTCTTTGAGATACAGTGGAGTCCACTTTAACTGAACACGGGTAATCCAAACTCAGTGGGTGATTGGCGGGTGCTCTGGTGTGGTTTGCTCCTTCTTTCCTGTCAAACATCTATCATCCTTATCTCTCCTCCTTTTTTTGTGTAAGTTACTCTCTTGTAACACACCTATTCTTTAACATTTATATGACTTTATTGTATTGCAAGTGCCATAAAACCCTTACTAAAACTAAACTAAAAATCTTAAATCAGCAGTAAACTGAAAGGTAAAAATATCCCCAACTTTTTAAAAATATTTTATTTCAGCAACCTGTCTAACCCAAAAACCCATCTAGATTCTAAAACTTAAGTAAAGTTGGCGGTCCTTCAGAATTGGTTGAAGCGTTTCAGCTACAGTAGAGCCCACGAGTCCCCTTAAAAATGGTGAAATGGTATGAGTTAAACGCCTCTATCAACACTTTTTAGAGTCCTCTTATGAATGCAGAATGTATTGAATGCTGTTTTAATTTTGATTTTCAGTGGTTGGTGGCGGGTGCTGTGGTGTGGTTTTCTTCTTCTTTCCTATCAAACATCTATTGTCTTTATCTCCTCTCCTTCTTTGTTGTGTTTGTTACTCTCTTGTAACACCTCTAATCTTCGGCACTTATATGACCTTATGGTGTTGCAAATGCCGTAAAACTCTTACGAAAACTAAACTAAATTTTGATTTTCAGATTCCACACACAACACCATTGAGGAAAAAAGTGGAGAGTTTGGAAAACAAACGTTGAAAAGCCAAACCCTCAGCTTGAAATCCTCTGGGAAGTTGAAAGTCACAGGGGGAGACGACAGGTGGGTCTTCACTTTGTCCAAAGAGAAAAAAAGCTCATGTTCTTTTAGAAGTCGATATTACTTACTTGAATACTTGAGTGTAGAATTGGCATCTTAGGAAGACGGAATGCTCCATGCTTCCTCACCCCTCTTCATAAGGGTCCATTTCAGTGTGGGCAGGCTGATTGTCTGGATCATCAGTAATTCGATATTAGACTTGATGTTATGTTTCGGATTCAGAATGCAGTGTATATAGGGGAAGAAAATCCCATATGTTTCTATGTGTCATGACGTGGTGGAATCAGGCGCTCGTCAATTTTTGGGCATATGGGGTTATTGGTATCATCTCAAAGCTTGTTCATTTGCGTTGCTTTCAGTGAAAAAAAAATTTATCTATGCTGAATAGAAGTACAAATATTTCTGATTGAAGCAGGTGAGGGTCGCCTGGTTTGAGAAGTAAAATTGGGGGAAAATGGCAGTCAAAGTTTGGTAATATTCTTAGGTTGAGAGTCCTTGGAAACTGAAAATTTTATGGTTTTGTGCCTTTAATTGATGTTTTTCAGTAAAATTTACACAGAATGTTGTTTCTAAATGAACATAAAAGGTACTGAGCCAAAAAAAGGAAATTAGAAAAAAATTGCTCAACGGCCAGAAAATGTCCAGTTTCTTTCATTCATATTCTTATTCTGAGGAGCGCCTGATTACACCTGAATGCCTCACATATGTGTCATGACGTGGTGGAGTCAGGCGTTTAGTGAACATTCACCCTCAGATTTTTTTCTTTTCTTAGTTTACATTCTTTAGAAAGCTTGTACTGTCAACTCTTTTTGTGTTGAACTGGCTTGAGTTGATCTTCTGTTAAGTTGATCTATTTCTCAGGTCCCAGCACCTTTTCTTCTTTACATCTTCCAACAGTTAAGTTGAACGTACCACCCCCAGGGCAGTGCTACTGACTGAAGTGTCTTTAGACCATTCCCAAAGAGGGGATATTAACATGTTCTTATGCACAGTAGAATTGTAAATGGGCTGATGTCATGCTCATACTGTGCCGGAACAGCATAGGGGGAACTGCTGCTTTTTCTTTCCTCATCCTTACTATCGTCATTTTTCTTCTACTTCTTTTGTATGTTTGTCACTCTCTTGTGAACTGCTATTTCCGGGGTGCCTTGATAGTCGAAGGAGACTTTGTGCTGTTGAGGCTAGAGATGTGAGCAGAGTAAGTCTGATTCCCTGTAAGGACTTCTCTGTTGACATCCACCCCTTGGTGCTCATTTCACCTTATGCAGTTGCGAGCACCGTAAAACCTTAATAAAATTTTAAAAACACCTTTTTCAAGAATTGCTCTTGGTGGCTGGCGGGTGCTCTGGTGTGGCTTGCTCCTTCTTTCCTATCAAACATCTATCGTCCTTGTCTCTCCTCCTTTTTTGTTTGTTATTCTCTTGTAACACCTAATCTTCGGCACTTCTATAACCTTATTGTGTTGCAAGTGGTGCTCATATGACCTTATGCAGTTGCGGGCACCGTAAAACCTTGCTAAAACTAGACTGAACTAAGTTGAACTTTGGATGAGTTGGTCTTTTTTTCTCTCCCCCGACGACATTATCTCATCCATAATCGACTGTGTTACGTTTTTCAATAGTTGCCCTTTCAATGAGGTACGGTTATCGTGATGGTTATAGTGATGAAATCAACACTGTTGTTTCAGGGATGGAGCCAGAAGTGTGCAGATGAATTTGACCACCGGTCAGTTTGACATGAAGAACACATCGGTGAGTGCAGACCCCGACCCCCCCCCCCCCACCCCACCCCTTATTCTCATCTCCCTCTCTTTTGCTCTCTGTCATTTCTCTCTAAAACACCGCCTGGACATGGATGGCTGGTGCCTCTATAAATAAATCATGGATGGTCAAGGTCACTTCTCTCTGCCTTTGTATCTCGCGACCTCAATGCTTTCTTGTTGCATCTCAATTTTTTAAAACATTGAAAATGTGACTCCTTCTTAAGCTCACTCTTTGTTATGAACTGTTTTCACTGTTATTAAAAATGGAGACACGACAAGAAAACACTGAGGTTGCGATCTACCTCTCTGTGTATGTACCTGTCTATCAACCCACCCGTCCATCTCTCTTTACTTATCTAATTTTAGTTTGTCCATCTACAGAGGAAAATGTGGGGGCTCTCTTGGCCGAGAGGTTAAGGTGTTCACCTCTCATTCAAAGCTCCCGGGTTCGAATCCGGGTAGCGACGGAAGTTTTCTTCTCTAAAATTGTCTCTTTTCACCTCCTTTCCTGCTTGCAATGTTCTGTCGTCTGCTTGCGTCTCCACTTTCTGCCCCCACCCCCTCACCTCCTTTGCTCTCTCCTCTGGGTTTCTGAATCTTTCTGCAGCCTTTCTACTGCCACTCCTTGGCTCCTTCTTACTGCTGTCTTTCAGCCACACCCCTGATCGTCTGGCAGTACTTAAGGACTACACCTAGCCTTTTCGGTCATGGGCAAAAAATCTCAGAGGTCACATGTGCAAGTTGCGCCACATACAAGCTCCTTCCATTTATCTCTGTCCTGGGCCATCCTTCCAAGCTCGTTCCAAGTGAGCTTCATTTCTCTCATGTCCCTTTCCACGCATCTCCTCCATGTTTCCCGTGGCCTACCCCTGCCTCGTGCTCCCTGTGGGTTCCACTGCAGTGACTGTCTTGTGATATTTCCGCTGGGCTTTCTTAAGGTGTGTCCCATCAATTGCCACTTTCTTAGTCCTATTTCTATTTCTATATGTTTTTGTCCTGTCCTTTCCCACAGCTCTTCATTTCTTATTCTCCTGTCACTTAATTCTTAGGATACTTCTCATACATCTGTTGATGAAGGTCTGGACTTTATTCAGCACTCTCTTTGTTTTATTATTTATATTATTATTATGATTTTCCAGTTACTGAGGACGTGCTCTGAGCCAGATCTTGCCAACTTGTTCCGTACAATGGCCGCCGAGCCTGAGTCTGAGGCCAACTCCGCTGAGCCGCTCCCGATGTCGGTCACGCCATCCACGATACGACGACATCACAGCCTGGACCTGAGCGCTGTCGATGAAGAGGTGAGTTGATGAAGAGGTGAGCGCTGTTGATGAAGAGGTGAGTGCTGTTGATGAAGAGGTAATCCGCTCAGCACGGAGACTTTTGTACATGAGAGTTGAGAGTTTTAACCCTCCAACGCAGCGTGCAGAGCACACAACACTTGTCCCCACAGACTAGGATACAGATGGGCTACATCAGTACTACTCCTGTATCTCGGCAAAAATACCCCAACCATTATCAAAATTTCAGCATACTGAGAAAATTAAAATGATGATCGCATGTTCACCAACAAAGGAACTAGAATCGGAACTGAAAGCTCATTCATCACCCAAATTCTCATCATGGCGTAAGAGTAAAGCAGCCCTCATGCTAGGTCTGCTCAACATTTTTCTACAAAATTTACCCCAATTGTTGTATATACTCTGATTTTTCACCTCAAAAGCCACACAAACCATTCAGAAAGGAAATTTAACTTTGACAAGTGCGCATGTTAAAAAACGAGATCATTACTACAACATTTTTGTTGCTATATCACACTGTTGCCGATCAGCGTCCCGTTGGGAAAAAGGACGGCTTCTTACGTCACTGTTTGGCTTCCCGTGGGGGCAAAGTGTTAAAGAATGGATGGGATGTGTCAGTAAATTTGATGAATGTCAAATGCTCAAACCTTTGGAAAGGTTTTTCCTCACAGAGGAATCCACTTTTTAAACTGTAAGTGCAACTTCAGTCTCTTTGTTACTGTGATAAATGTTAGACAGTTTACTTCTATGGACTCTGAATTCAATTTATCTTTGTTTTGTCAGCAATGTTATTACTGAAGGGCAAAATATTGTGGATTGTTGTTATTACCCAGGAATTCAGTTTATTTCAAAACTCTGAATTGTCCTCAATGTATTTCAGTATTCTGAATTCTTTACCGTATGACATTTGCTTTTATAGGCTGTCCCCGTGGTTTTATGCTCCCGCATAATTTAGCAAACTTTGATCATTTTTTACATAATTTCTGATTATTTTCCTTTATCATTCTTTGTTAAAATTAACAGAATCGCATAATTTCACAATTTTGGGCTCAGTTTTTGCCTAATTTCAGAACTTTTCTTGCATAAAACAACGGGGACAGTATAGGGAATGTGTTTAAAGTGGATGTAAGAAGTCTGATGTAGCTCAGTTATGTTTTTCAGTGCTTGAAAGCCTTTATTTCGCAACCATACTTGCATTTTTTGCACTGTTTTTTTTTTGTTAGTGAGAGTCTGTTATACTTTTGATCCGCCTAAAAGTTTTGTTTTTTGAGATTCTGCCCTTTTTAAAACTTTCAGACAATTTTGGACACCGGTGGCAATGCTGATGATGATGAATTTGCTGAAGAGGATCTGGAGATATTTGAAGAGTGAGTCTAATCAAAGCATGTTTATTTTCTGGAACTTGGTGAAAAGTCTTTGATCTATCTAAGCTGAATACTCATATTGGTTCTACAAAATAACATATTTTTTGGCTTCAAACATTTTGAAGTAAAATTCGCTCTAATATGTGTTATGTGTTCTGTAATGAACCAAGAAGCTTTCTGTAAAATGAATGTACATTTTCGACGAAAATGCTCAAGAGGCAGAAAAATACGGATTTCTCTGTTCCCTACAAGTTGGTAAGGGCCTGATTCTACTGCAAAGACTCGCATGTTCTTTGTATTTGAAACATATATATATATATATATATATATATATATGTCAGAAACAAAAAGACTTTGGCATCTTGCTCATTTCTCTCTGAGCATGCAAGACTGTATATCCATACTCCTTGTGCTTGTCTGTCATCTTAGCTTGCCATTGTGAAACTTACACATGTGTCATTCATTAGTCATAAACGTTGATGCCTTGAGAAGTACTCTATGGTATCGAAAAATGAAACTGGGTTGTTCCTACATGGAAAAAGTTGTCACAGTTACTGACTAAAATGTCATGTTCTCTTGTTCTTTTATTACCTGAAGGAGAAATAAAACAGATTTGTTCTTACTAGTACAGGGGATGAGGTTGAATGTGCCCCCCCATTTATTAGTTTTAGACCACTTGTCCACCTCCCCCTTTTATTCCTACCCCCCCCCCCTTTTATTAGATACCTAAGAGTATTTTATTTATTAAAAAACCCATCTGTTAATACATTTTCTGAGACATGGCGCTTTGAAGGCTGAGGATAATAAATCTGCGGTCTTTGACAATTTGAATCCTGTACAATTTGGAAACTTCTCCATTTTCTTTGTCTTCAGCAATGATGACGATGATGACAATGAGGAGGACGATGATGGCGATGAGGACGACGATGATGTGCGCAGCATGATGGAAACCATGCAGAGTCTGCTAGACGAGGACGAAGATGAAGGTAAATTAGTAGCAGAAGTGTAAACTGTTGGCACTTACAGTACTGTCAGCGACTTTAGTAGTATGCGTTCACTACTGCTGCACCCTTTAATACGTTATATGCGAATTTATCGTGAAGTCTGATAACTTAAGGGCCCGTGTGCAAGTTGGTGGTCTAAAATCGACAAGAGTAGGCTTTGGCCGCCACCCGGGCAAAATTCAAAATTTCCTACCAACTGAAAATATTAGGTGTGTCCCGCGCGCTCATATGACCTTATGCAGTTGCGAGCGCCGTAAAACACTTTACAAAAACAAACAAAAATGATAAATTAATGTCAACCAACATAAACCCGTACTCCGGTAAAGGCCACCAACTTCTGTACTTCTGCCCTGGGCTACAGTCTCCACATCCTTCCAGCTGTCTCTCATCTCCTTTAAGTCACAAGCCACTTCCTGGCTTTGATTTTGACGTTGTAAAGTACTGCACTATGACTTCAACGAATGAGTTTTAACACGTTTGCAGTCTCACAGCCAGCAGTACAAAATATTCCTTCTGGTCACCTAGCCAGGAGAGTGACTGCAACAAACTTCTTGGGCCTGTCGCAGAACTGCGCCAGGTGAATGGAATGGATAATTTTCACAGTCGTAATATTGCGCCCAGTGACTGCAAAGTGTGAAGCATTTCTCATCCTTTTATTTTGTTAATAAACTCTGACAATTCCACAGATAAGGAAAAGACCGTGAAGGCAAAACCTCAGACTGACACAGTCGACGGGAAGAAGAAGAAGAAACCGTCAACGATCAAACGAGCTCCGAAGGATGTGAAAGGACAGAAGACGAGTACGGGGGAGAAAGACGGAAATGACAGTGGGGACGTTTCACCGACCACGGGAGATGGAGAGAACGACGGTGAGGAGGATGTTGCCGATGATGGTGATGACGAGTATGATGACGATGTTGATGACGAGGCGGAGCAGGAGAAGATGGAGTTGGCAGCTGCTCTGGAGTTGGAGGGAGGTATGTTGTGTGTTGTGTTAAAAGGTGGTGTGTTGTGTTGGAGGGTGATGTGTTGTTTGTTGTGTTGGGAGGTGGTGTGTTGTGTTGTGTTGGGAGGTGGTGTGTTGTGTTGGAAGGTGTGTGTTGTGTTCGAATGTGTTGGAAGGTAGTGTGTTGTGTTGGAAGTGGAGGGCGGTGTGTTGAATGGTGGTGTTAGAAGGTTGTGTGTTGTGTTGCAGGGTGGTGTGGGTGGTTGGAGGGTGCTCTGGTGGGGTTTGCTCCTTCTTTCCTATCAAACATCTATCGTCCTTATCTCTCCTCCTGTTTTATGTTTGTTGCTCTCTTGTAATACCTTTAATCTTCAGCACTTATATGACCTTATTGTGTTGCAAGTGCCGTAAAACTCTTACTAAAACTAAAAAAAGGAGGGGGGTGTGTTGTGTTGGATGATGTTGTGTTGTGTTGGAGGTCACAATTTACAACTCCCAAGGATAGGAAATAGTGTCAGGACTCTAAGTGAGCAGTTCACACCTCTTTCAGTTTTTTCTCTTCTAGTTGAGCAAAAAGGAAGAAAAGAGTCCACAGTCTATTGCTGCTGTTTTTTATTTTGATTTATGGACACATTTTTCATCTGTTTATCTTATTTGTCACAGGTGGAAAATATTTATAAGGGTTGTGGTTTGTGAATGCTGCTGTTCGTGTGAAAATGATGATAAACATGGTTGACAAATCTGAGCGACCATCATCTGAAAGGGTGAAGATGATACCTACTTACTTTTTACTGTTTCATCCTCTGTTGCCGTTAAGCGTCGAGGGGAGATGCAGTTTTCTATGGTAGGCCAGCTCCGCAGTTCTTTTAGTTGTGATATTATGTTTTCTCAGGGTTTCCTTGACACCCTCGATCCACCTTTTGGGTGGCCTTCCTCTTCCTTTATAGCCTGAGCGCCTGATTCTTCTGCCTCATGACACATATGGTCGCTTTTAAGCGCAAGGGGGCTATCCCGAAAAATGCTGTTTTGAGAAAACCATAAAGTTTTTGCGCCCCTTGTTCAGTTTCTTTAAAAGACAAGGAGAGTTTTCTCTATAACCAAACAAATATACACACCAAAGAAACCAAATTTCTCCTATAAGTAGGGCAATGCCCACTTTTGGTGTAGGTCAAGATTTCTTGAAACACCCGAAATCTGGGTTAGCCCGCTTGTCCTTAAAAGGGACCATATTTCCTGCGGAATGTTTCAGGTGAGGACAGCGACGATGAGACCACGTTTGGAGACGACGGGGAGGAAGACTACGACAGGTTCGGCCGGCTGGAGCAGTGCAGAATGGAGCTGGAGGAACAGCTGGGCATTGAGAAACTGGTGGAGGTCTATCAGGCTATACAGGTGGGTGGATGGTGGAGGTCTATCATGCTATACAGGTGGGTCATCTATCAGGCTATACAGGTGGGTGGATGATGGGGCGATGGAGAAACTGGTGAAAGGCCCCCTAAGAGAAGTGCTACTTACTGAAGTTGTCTTTAGGCCATTTCCTAAGGGGAGATATTAACATGTTCTTATGCACAGTAGAATTGTAAATGGGCTGATTTATCAATGTCGAATTTTTAATGTGTTTACAACCATAATTAAAGGTTTTCGGGGTAGGCCTAGTTCATATTTTGATCACCATGCACTTTGTGTGCTCTTACCCTTATAACTGTTCAGCAAAGTGCAGACAATGAGTCAATCCTTCTCCCTCTTTGTCTCCTTGTCCATAGTAAAAGGTCAATTTATATATGTGCCTGTATTAATTTAACTCTTTAACCCTATCCATAAGTCGTGTTTTACCATCGTATCCATATGATGTGGGGAACTCTGTGCCACCACTTTCCAAAGAGGAAATTTACTCGTTAATCCGATCCGTACACTTTGCAGTGCAGTCTGTCAAAATGATTTTTTGAGAAATTATACTGAAAGTTTCAAAGAGATCTTAGCACTAAAAGTGTTCTAAAATGTGAAGAATACTACCCCGGGGATACAAAATGACCCCGGGGTGTACGGATAGGGTTTTTAGACCCCATTGGGCGCTGGGAGTATCCAATACTAGTGACGATGGTTTCATTTCTTTTAGCGCGGGTGCTCTGGTGTGGTTTGCTCCTTCTTTCCCATAAAAAATCTATCATCTCTATCTCCCCTTCTTCTTTTTTTGTGTTTGTTACTCTCTTGTAACACCTCTAATCTTCGGCATTTATATGACCTTATTGTGTTGCAAGTGCCATAAAACTCTTACTAGTGGGTGGTTGGTGGGTACTCTGGTGTGGTTCGCTCCTTCTTTCCTATAAAAAATCTATCATCTCTATCTCCCCTTCTTCTTTTTTGTGTATGTTACTCTCTTGTAACACCTCTAATCTTGGGCACTTATATGACCTTATTGTGTTGCAGGTGCCGTAAAACTCTTACTAAAACTAAACTAAAAGGGTTTAAAGAGCTAATTATTTTATTGTCAATTCTCAGAGCCTTCAGGAGGACGATGATGCGAGCATGGAAAAAGGGACCAAAATAGCGCTGGAGATGCTGGGCCCGGCCAATGAGCATCTGTTCGCCAAGATCTTCCAGCTGGTCATGTCGGACACGGCCTTCACTGATGGTCAGTCTGCTCCCTGGGGGGTTATTCTGAATAGAATAGTGGATTGGGGGGGGAGGGTTGGCGGGGGCTCTGGTGTGGTTTGCTCCCTATTTCCTATCAAACATCTATTGTCTTTATCTCTCCTCCTTCTTTTTTGTGTTTGTTACTCTCTTGTAACACCTCTAATCTTCGGCACTTATACGACCTTATTGTGCTGCAAGTGCCATAAAACACTTACTAGAACTGAACTGAATAGATTGTAGAGCGAAGGAAATAACAACAACACAACTTTCTACTTCTTAAGACAAAATTGTAATGAACGAATAAAAGGAAAAAAGATAACACACTTTAGTACAACAGTGTGCGATGACTCACTCCCCGGCGATACCAACTTTGCGGTTGGCACAATGTCAGTGTATGTGAGTGTGCTGTCGCTACAAGATTCTAAATTGTCCTCGATGAATTATGTTCTCAGCTTAGTAAAAAGAATGAAAAATTTTTTTCTTTATCGCTGAACAGTTTTTGGGAAAGAATTTATGTTTGCAATCATAAGGGTTTTCGTGGTAGGCCTATTTCATTTCTTGATCACCTTTCACTTTGTGTGCTCTAACTCTTACACTTACACATAGCTGTTCAGCAAAGTGCAGTGACCCCCCTCTCCCCGGGGGAATGCTACCCACTGAAATTGTCTTTAGGCCATTCCCAAAGGGGGGATATTAACATGTTCTTATGCTCAGTAGAATTCTAAATGGGCTGATTTATCAATGTCATGCTCATACAGTGGCAGAGCAACATAGGGGGAACTGCTGCTTCTTCTTTCCTCATTCTATCGTCATATTTCCTCTACTTCTTTTGTATGTTTGTCACTCTCTTGAAAACTGCTATTTCCGGGGTGCCTTGATAGCATTATTATTCTTCGAACTTCTTGTATTCTATATTTAGATTCAATTGCTCATCCATTAAATTATCGTTACGCCATTCACAACATGTTTTGCACTTTTTCAACAAGAATTTTCATGTCTTATGTACATGAAAATTGAAAACAGATCTTATATGGTTGCCAGCTGATACGTCATTATTTTTGTGAGATTAAGTAAATCTGTCGTAACAACAACAATAACTATTGTCTTTGTCCTCAGAAAATTGATACGCGTTTTAGTCCAAGTTTTGATCCACATTTATGATGGGTATACATGAGGTACAGCCAGATGAACCTGCACGTGTCACCCCACTGTCCGTGAGGTGGACGCGTTGTTTTTCTGGATGTGTTGACCATCACAGACTGACCAGTGATATTGGCCTTTTGAGACTGACCAGTGATACTGACCATCGGAGACTGCCCTTACCTCACAGACTCCGGTCTTTTGTCACGAGATATTGCCATTCACCCATATGTTCCATCTAGATCCATATGTTCCAACTGCGTCTATAAATAGTTTGCTTGAATTTCAATCAGAATGGGACTTTCTTATAATTTAAAGACATTTATATGAACGTCACTTTATAAATGTTTTAAATGCTTTTATTTAAAAACTGTAATTTATCACTTTATATGAATACAAGTGTAAAATCTACTAGTTCTGATTTACAGTAGGTACCAGAAACTAAATTTTCAAAGTAGATGTATGCCAAATTTATCTGTTCCATATGAAAGGCCTATATCTCCTGAGAATTTTGGTACCATTCTTTAACCTCTCTGTCAATTTTTAAGAAAATGGTAGCTGTTTAAAATTTGATCAAACTTGGTAAATTCGTTAACTGGCTGCAACCCCATGTTTGACAGACAATAAAAGAGTACCAAGTGCACTAAACGTCTCCACATTAACTGAGTACAATCACTGTAACATAGGAAGCCTAATTTTTCAAGACTGTGAGATCATTACAAATCAGTATTTTATCGCCTCAAACACAATGGTCTGTCGTTATTTTGACAAAAACACAGAGCGTTGACGTGGCCGGCGCCGCACCGGCCCCCGCGACTAGCGAGTCGACTCTATACTGTAGTGTACTCCGCGTGGGGGGTACATGCTTTCCGAGTTTTGCGGAAGGATTACTGAAAAACAATTCCTATCCGATTACTTTATTCTAAAAGAAAATGAACTGATCTTTCTATTTGTACCTTTTTTGAGCCGGTATTTTGCATATTTCGTGTAAAAAATTATCTTTGAAAACTTTGACGGTATTTTTAAAGGCTTTCTATTTAAATGGCAAAGGTGAAAAATATACACGGAAAAGCCTGTCGAAAGCTCTACAGTTCTCTGCCAATGAAAAGACGGTATTTAATGATCAATCTTTCCTCGAAGCATTTGAATGCATGCTTGTCAATTTTTTAACTGCCAACCACGTGTTCCGACTGTGAGGGGCTTCGCTTTCCACAGCGATTCTCCAGCTCCTAATAATCGGACATATAAACAACTGACACCATTGTAACGAGGAAGAGCTGAACTTTTACAAGGTGTAAAACACTTGGTGCTTTACTGCGAAAAAGCAAAGAAACAGCAATCTGAATTACCCCAATTTCACCGATACTATGCGCTCGGAAAGCCACGAGTTCCCGCGAGGCCTTGTTTACGCCATCTATTTACAGGCTATAATTGACAAAAATAGTATCTTTCGCTTCAGTTGAATAGTCATTTTATTTTTTTAAAGTAGAGAAACTAAACTGATAGCAAATCTGAGGAAATCAAGAGTAAACTTTACACGCTTTGTGCTTACTTATTACATGAAGCTATGTGTAACGTCCTACCTTGCTGTGAAACATTTTTGTTGGCAGAAAGTTCTGAAACCATTTGAGAGTTAAACCTTGAAATTATGCTCTGATTTTGGTCTATTTATATATCTTTGAAGTAATGTTATTCTTTTTGAAGAGCTTGATTCATATATATGTGTCACGACGTGGTGGAGTCAGGCGTTCGTCGATTTTCGGGTATGTGGAGTCATTGGTATCATTTTAAAAATTGTGCAATTGTCTTGCTATTGGTGAAAAAAATGCCCATCTATTTTAAATAGAAGTCGAGATATTTGAGATTGAAGCAGGTGTGGTCGCCTGGTTTCAAAGGTAGAATTAGTGAAAAAGGGCCGCCAAAGTTTGGTTATTTCCATAGCTTGATAGTCCGTGAAAACTGAAAGCTTACATTTTTGTACCTTTAATCAATGTGTTTCAGTAAAATCCACCCAGAAACGTGTTCTTAATTGGATAAAAATGATGTAGAACCAAAAAACAAAAAGTGGATAAAAATTACCAAACTGGCAGAAAAATGAAAGTTTCTTCAATTTCATTATTTTGACGAGCGCCTGATTTCACCGCGATGCCTCACATACAAGAACAAATGAGAACAATGATGATGTATTATAGATGTGTTGATGAACGTTCTTGTTGATGTTTACGGAACATTCCCCTTCACCCAGAAAACTGCTGACACATTTCATGTCGTGTATTGTCACTGTCAGTCTCCGTCCGTCACTTCAGTGTCACACACTAAACCACTTGTCTCTACATGTACGTATACAGTGCAGCCTCTCTATAACCACATCGTCGGGACCAGAAAAAAATGTCGTTTTAGAAAGTTGTCATTTTAGAGAAGCAACCAAAATATAATTGATAATGATATCATCATCATCATCATCCAGTGCCAGATCTGCGACAGACATCGGCGATTTTGTTTCTCCATTCATTCCTTTGCTTGGATGCTTTTAAAATATCTAGGTTTCCCTTATCTTTCCCTGTTACCCATTTGTTTAGGTAATGATATATATATAAGAAAAAAATTGTTACCTGGGCACCATGTCGCCATACAGAGGATGTCGTTATATCGAAGGTCGTTATAGAGAGGCTGCACTGTATGCAAGTCATTACTGACTGAAAAATATGGTTATATGATGTGTTAATTTGTGTTGGTTAGTACCCTGCTCTCATTGAAAACTTCAGTGTTTGTTAACGTATAGAAAATGTGAGGTCTATTATTATTATTATTGTAAATATTATTTGACTGTCAAGAAATTTGAGGGGCGTGGGGAGGGTGCGTGATGGTTGTGAGATTAAAGGTATAAGGAGCTTGTGAACATAGTTCTATATGTCTTCTGGTTAAAAAAAGGAACACATGTGAAGAGCACAGGGGAAAAACGACTGTAGTCACAGACTAGAAATTGTGAGGAGGCCAATTTTAAAACTTTTAAAAGCTTGTGGACTCTTCACTTCATATTTGTTTGACTGGTGGTTTATTGTTAAGTGTTCTTGAATGGGAAATTTAACAACAATAATCAACCAACAGTTGGACAGAAATGCAGTTATGAGTCAACAAGCGTTCATAATTGGTACCCTCACGATTTACAGTTTGTGACTACAGTCGTTTTCCCCCTGTAGTCTTCATGATCATGTATATCATAATGAATTGCTAGTTTTTAAGTTCTTAGTTTTTTGGTAGACAGTGAGAGAAAAAAAAACCACACTGTGACCTGAAGCGTCCAGAATAATTAGGCCTTTGTTGTCCCAGAAGGTTATGAGTAGTCAGGTTGTCGACAGTGAGGGTTTACCTGAATGATGACAAGGAAAATAATGATATGTGTCATGACGCTGTGGAATCAGGCGCTCGTTAATTTTTGTGGAGTTATTGGTATTGCCTTAAGTTAAAGCTTGTTCATTTGCCTTGGTTTCGATTTTAAAAATATCAATTTATCTTGAATAGAAGTCGAGATATTTGCCATTGAAGGATATGGGATCTCCTGGTTTCAGATGTAAAATTAGAGAGAAAATGGCCGCCAAAGTTTGGTGACTTCCCTAGCTCAAGAGTCCTTGGAAACTGCAAATTAAATTTTCTGTGCCTTTAATTAACGTTTCCCCTTAAAATTCTCACATAAAAGTGTTTCTGAATGAACATAGAAGACGTTGAGCCAAATAAGCAAAATTTGAAAAAAAATTCCAAACTGACGGAAAAATGCCTGTTTCTCCAATTTTTGTATATTGACGAGCGCCTGATTTCACCACACTGCCTCACATATGGTGAATGGAGAAAAAGCCAGCTCTTTGGCCCACGGTTAGGTTCTCATTTAGCAGAGGTCTTTAAACAGAAAATTGTTTTGCATTATTTTCCTTTAACTTAAAGATTTTAATATCAATCAGAGTTTTTGCAATACCAGTATTTCGCATTTGTAGTACTACTGTTTGATGTACCATAATTAACTGATTTGATGCAGGGTATTTTGATTTTGCTTTCCCCGGTAAGACAGATGTGGAAAATTGTGCAATTCCAAGACTTACCAGGTATGTCTGTATAATAGTATATCAAGTATATGACATTAAAGGAGTTCAATGCAACTTTGAAGCTATATGACAGTATATTTCTCTTTGAGTGGTCTGTGGTAGGTTTAGATGTGTGTGATGAGCCAATATATGTTCAAGTTTGGGAGGAAATAATGAGTGTTTCATGATTTCTACTGGAGTGATTTTTATGCCGTCCATTTGTACACGGTTTTTCCCCTTGTTTTTCCTTTACCAAGACTTGTTCTCAGATTCGTTGTTCATTTTTATATATATATATATATGAATGATGACACATGAAGAAATAGGCCAAAGTTTTTGTCATCATGTTAAATGTAACCAAGCTTATTATTTTCTCAGAATGGTATAATCCCTGTTGTTGGCCTGTGTATAGCCTGACTCCGTTTTGCTCTTTGTTTCTTTCTGTTTAATGATGCGATCCGTTTGGACGGTTTTTGTGATTAATACTGTCCCCGTCGGATTATGCCATTGTGCGGCTGCATTTTTTTACATAATTCTGCAACGTTTGCATAATTTTGGATTCTACGTTTTTTTTCACTTTTTTTTTCATTTTTACCAAAACAGTTATATTTTTACTTTCAAAAGAGTGAAAGATTTTTTCTACGAAAACAGAACTCTTTAATTTCGCGAAGTGCACAAAGTCCTTAATTATCCATTTCCGGTAACTGGCCTAGCCTTGTTGATGTTCACCCCATTGGCGGATCGGGGCGGGGCAGGGCGGTTTGCTAGCCGAATTGAGGGCCAATCGTCAACTTGTCGCCTCTAAACAAACGCATTTGTTTTCTTGCGACGAGTGGGTCGATCCCCCCCAACCTGACCCGACCAGCGATGGACATTCAGTAACGAAGTGGAGATGGGTAAATTTCTTTAAAATAACGAGACGGCGACCAAGATGTCCGCAAGTGAACGTCAACGACAATTTATCAACATGACACACATTTCTGATCTATTTTCACAATCACAGCTATAGCTTATAAGATGCATTGTCTGTTTTGTGTGGGTTTTTGGGGGGTTTTTTTATCAACATATGTCTATCAGCACACCACCACTACTAGATCTATGTTCCAATTGTTTTTTTCGTTTGTCAGCGTATCTGTCAGGTCCTCCAGGCATCGAAATATAATACTTTGAGTTTATTTGGTGTGTTGGTATGGACCAAATGTTTGTTTTCTTTTTCTAACTTTTTTAAAAACATTTTTCTTTCCTCTATACAGCTGAAAGTTGCAGAGCTATTTTTTGGTTGGTTTTTCTGACTGATGTGTATTGGTTTCTTTCCCAAAATACACAAAAAATTACTGATACTGATATAGGTTAATATATGTTCTGTTTTCAGTTCTTCTGTACATAAAACATGAAAATTCTTGTTGAAAAAGTG